AGGTTAGGGTAATTAGGCAAGTAACTGTATAATGATGGTTTGTTGTGTAGACTATCACAAAAAATAGCTTAAAGGGGCTAATTATTTTGACCCTAAAATGTTTTTTAAAAATTAAAAAATGCTTTTATTCTAGCTGAAATAAAAAAATATGACTTTCTCTATAAGAAAAAATATTGTAATAATACTATATATATATATATATATATATATATATATATATATATATATATATATATATATATATATATATATATATATATATATTACTCTGTTGAACATAATTTGGGAAATAATTAAAAAAGAAAAAAATCATATGTTAATTATGCTAATGACATTTCCATTTTATTAGCTTATAGGTTTAAATAAAAAGCAATAAGCAAAGATGTTTCAAGTGTAAATCTAACTAATAGAAATAGTGAATTACCATTAATTATGCCAAGTTTCATTGTAGTAAATAATCAAATAATGATACCATTAGTGGCAGTTTCCCCCACAGTCCAAAGTCATGCGCTACAGGTGAATTGAATAAACTAAATAGTGTATGTGTGTGAATGAGTTTGTTTGAATGTTTCCCAGTACTGGGTTGCAGCTGGAAGGGCATCTGTTGTGTAAAACATATGCTGGAAAAGTTGGCGGTTCGACTGTTGCAACCTCTGATGAATAAAGGGACTAAGCTAAAGGAAAATGAATGAATGAATGGAATGAATGAATAAATGAATGAATGAATAAATGGAATGAATGAATGGATGGATGAATGAATGGATGAATGAATGGATGAATGAATGAATGAATGAATGGATGAATGGATGAATGAATGAATGAATGAATGAATGAATGAATGAATGAATGAATGAATGGTCTTTTTACTTTTATATGGGTGATTCTAGAATTGTGGGCATATTTATTATACACAGATCTGTTTTTTCATCTCCTAGATAACCCTACTATTATTTCTCAATAACAAAAACATTCATGAACACTTTTGAATAATAACACATATCGGGCTCTTTCTAAAAAATAATGTTTTTATGAGTATTTAGTTAAATTTAGTCTTTAAAATATTAAGCTGTACCTATTTTTGACTGTATCTGCCTCCTGAGTTATAGATTAAGCTTCATTCATTGATTTTCTTTTCGGCTTAGTCCCTTTATTAATCGCCAGAGTGAATAAACTGCCAACTTATCCAGCATATGTTTTACGCAGCAGATGTCCTTCCAGCAGCAACCCATCACTGGGAAACATCCATACACACTCATTCACACACATACAATACGGACAGTTAAAGCTTACCCAATCTACCTTTAGCGCAAGTCTTTGGACTTGTGGGGAAAACAAGCTCCACACAGAAACGTCAACTGACTCAGCCGAGGCTCAGACCAACGACCTTCTTGCTGTGAGGCAATCGTGCTACCCACTGCGCCACCGCAACGCCACATTTAGCTTCAGTTAACATACAATAATTAAAGGTGCCTTACAATCTACATACATGGGCATAGCTGAATAATAATAGTTCAGTACATGAAAATAGCATAACTGTGAGCATCAAACACCATTTTTTCCTCGCTTTTATTTAAATCCCGCTGAAAATTGGAACAAATCACACTTTTATATTACAGATGGAATCATTCCTCTATTTATAAATGATCATACAAATACAATTTCGGAAGATTGGTTTTTACTTATCTAAACCACATAGCTACTATGCAGATAAAGGAGAACAATTTAACTCGAGTCAATGCACTATAATGTCACCTTTAAGTCTAATTGCCATCTACTTTGTATGTTTACTCTACTGAGTTAGGTATACATTTGCATGAAATTACTGTTTTCTGTATTATTTGTAATTTCAGTAATAGCAAAATACATTTTGTGTCTGTCCCAACCTTTTGGACAACTCTGTTACATCAGTTAAAAAGTCATAAAAGGCATGACAATCTTTAAAGCACTGATTGAAAAAGCATGTGATTTGCTCCGAGTGAAGTCACTACCTCTGGTGGGAAACTCTAGAAGGCATTGAGGCATGTCCTTTTTTCTCTCTCATTAATTAGAACAAAGTGTTTAGGATTACCCAATAGTAGTTTCGTTATTTTTCAACAGTGCTGTAGTAATATTTCAGTAAATTACTCATTAACTTTCTAATTTATATTTACTATATGTATCTCAAAATGGCAGCACGACAGCTAGTGGCTCACGGCTCTTCTTTTACTGTCCTCTTTTTGTTTGTATTAGTATATCTGTTTGCTTGTGCTCAACTCACCTGAACTCATCGCACATGCGTATGTACATCGTATATGTGTACAGGGACAATTAAAAGCATTATAATCTATTCTAGAAAGCAATAATAGGATTGAGCATTTTGAGATAAAACAAAACTGTTGAAGTGTCAACCTTATTATTGTCAACTCTTTCAGTGATTTGAATTGGTCACCAATAATTTAAACAATACTTAGTAGCAGAAACAAATATTCCCCAACATTTGAACAATAAAATTTAAACATTTTGCATTATTTTACGTTAATAATAAAATCAGTTTACTGCAAATTATACATTTGCTGTACCTCATTCCAGTTTAAAGAAAATGAACGGAAAATGCTTAAAATGTATGTTCAATTGTACCTAGCAATTCTGGAACAAACACACACACACACCTGCTGTTGGCCCCAATGCTGCTTTGGCCCCTGCCAGTGTGAGCAGCCCCCCCTCTCTCAGGTGTTTGGTTGCTAGGTGACTACAAATAGTGGAGGTCCATACACTCTGCTTCCACATCAGATCAGCATTCTTAAACAGAGCTGAGGCACAAAGAACACATTCATACCAAGTCAAAAACTAATATGATCATGTAACTAAAAATGTTCGGTATAAGAATAGAATTAGATATTAGCGCCCCCTTGTGACAATGCAGAGAACCCACAGAAGGGGCATTTTTGACAATGCCACTGTCTTAGATTATGTGTGGCTTAAGTGTTTGAATATATTAGGCGAGTACCAACTTTTGGCCTTAGCGCTGCCCCCTGCCCAACCTCCAGCCACGCAGAAGATAGCGTCAACCTTCTCTTCACCTAACAGATCACCAACATCTGCCGTTACCTGAGGAGAAAAACTAAACAGATTTAAGATAACTGAAAAACAACATACATTTTTTTTTTAAAAAGCTTTAAATTAAAGATGGTGCTTTTGCAAGTTGAAGTAACTATTATAGTTTTTATTAATACTTTAAACATGTTTTATTGTCATCAAAGTAAAAATCAAGTCCTTGCTTAGAAACTTTTTCGCCGCTTTCAATATTAGTTTTTGCTGCTGACTGATAAAGTCTGTCTTGTGATGTCATCTAATATTGTAGCAAGTAACCTGCATTCAAATTAGCATCACTAAAACAGACCACTTCTCAATACTCATTCCTGTTAATGAATACAAATCGTATTAAATCATTTTAAGGATACAACAATATAATTTAATACACAGCAATAGCAATTTTAAAAGTTTAACAATTCAGTCATGAGCAGAAAGAAAATGCACAACATAAAATTTATTTTAGGATATGATATCATAATATGAAACTTAAATAAATCAAATTGATTTCCTCTGTAACAAATAATAGACTGTGAACCCAAAAGGGTCTATTAGATAAAAAATTATATGTATATATTATATTTATAATGGCTAATAATTCTGACTTTAACTAATATAAAATGAACCCGTGGATATATATCCATGCTTTTATGCTAAACAACCAAAATTGATGCAATGAACAAACTTTTTTATGTCAGTTAAACTACCTGGGAATTGAACCCATGACACTGGAATTGCTTAAAATAAGCTTGTTAGATAAATTTATTTGATTGATTTTCATATATTATATTAATACATTATACTTTTAAAGAAACCAAAAGTTAATGTTATACATTTATGCGCTTCTTGATATAATTACATATTCAATTTTAGTTTTTAAAGAGTTAAATGGTTGGAATGTGCTAGTTGCAGGAATAATGTGCTGACAAAAAGTTGAGTATATGATCAATTGAATTCTACCAAACAGATTGTTTTTTTTTTTTTTTTACAAGAATGAAAGACAATGATTCATCATCTGTTTGTATGCCTGTATAAAAACTGGCCCTGTAAGACTGCTCTCTGAGCAACCAGGATGGAACCTGTATTTCTTCTGTATTAGTCCCTTGCTGCAAGAACATCTAGGAAAATGAATCTTCCTGAGCCTTGTAATAATTTTTGACCCTGACAAGCTTGACTGTCATCGGAAATAATTTCCTTCTTACCTGGTTGGCTTGCTCAGTGAAGGACTCAGTCATTTTAACAGTAACATTGGCATTGGCTTCTTCATTGGCACTGAGATCAATAGAGGCAACCCACTGAAAACCACAAACACAAACATGTTCCTTATTGACATATTACAGGCCAGAAGAAATGCATGAATCGATATAGTTCATGAGAAACGCATAACATTGTTTTGAGTAAATTAATTATTAATAGTACTACTAAAACACGTGAAGCGTGTCTGATGACACTGTAGGGGGGGAAAATATTTATTTTCAATAATGTGGCCTGTCTTCTGGGTTTATACAACTTACCCAGTGTTTAGCTTTGAAATACTGCACACATGCCGAGCCCAGAGCTCCTTTTCCCCCGTAAACAATCACTTTCTGTGCATCTGTAGCTGCCATTCTGTCTTCACGAGCACGAGACCGTGTTATGCAAAGAAATCAGAACATGCGCCTCCTACTGGAAAAGATGAGAAGAGCACACATAATTGTATTAGGATGGGTTGCGTACGGGTATAAGCTTAAAATAGACTTACCTTTTTTTAAAAATAATGTTTTTCGAGATTAATGTTTAAAAATAATCCATTAATGCTAATAAATATAAATGGGAACATCGCAACACATGTAAAACGATTTCTGACCAGCAGGTGGCAAAGGTCGTCTTTGCAAACTGCGCGACTAAAAACAAAGAAGAAGAAGACTTGTCTTCCGGAGGAAATACATGTAGTTGTATAGCATCGGTAGCGTTCTATGACAAGCTTTTCATTTTGCTTTGTCAGTTAGCTGATTGCGTATGATAATTGGAAATAATATTTAACATTCCTCAAAACTCTTTCTCTCGGAGAGAGAAGGCAGTGACAGATTCAGGTAACGTAATGCTCACAGTTTCTTTCTTTGTGGATGTATTGCTTCATGTTTGATATGTTTAGGATGTTTCCAGTTGATACCATTTTTGGTTTCAGACGATTAATTAAGTTTCTAAGTGTTAGATGTTCACTGTGCAGTTCACTATGGAAGTATTAGCTGTCAATAAGTAGGCTTATAAATCTCAGTATGTTAGACGAGGCTAAACCTCCAACTGACCTCATATATCTCAACATGAGCAATGTGCTTTAATATCTAAGTTAAATATGAGGAATAAAATTAACATCTATCTATATGTGTGTCTATAAATGAAACACCAAATGTCCTTAAAAATCTTTGAAAAGTGTTACATTTATTAGTGGAGACTGAATTAATAGCAGCCCCTGTTATCTAAACATACATGGGGGGAAAACTGATCACATAATCATTTACTGTAATCTATAGAAGTTAATAATAGTAATGATTAAGAAATATAAGGAACATATCACGTGCTATAAAGGTAAAGTCGGTCTTTTATTCGCACATTCGGACTTTCTCCTTAATATAATTTCATAAAAGTACTATTTGCAAACTCTAAATAGCGAAATCATATTAGCAGCCAATGATTATCAAAGTACATGTTCACAGTCAAATAAACAGTGTTCAAGTTTTCAAATTACACTTGCAGTTTATTTCAGACTGGATATTCAAGGTGCCGTGGTAAACAATGTAGGGAGTGTGTCACAAATTGCCACTGAATGAATGTGTAAATATAAAACCAAGTTTACCTTAATATATATGCTGTGGCTATATAATATGTTCATTTAAAAGTTATTGTTTAATTGAGCACTCATTCGTGGTTTTGTTTTCTTAGGTTTCATCAGTGGTGGAAAGACTACTGAAAAAATATACTCAAGTAAAAGTATCATTACTTGACCAAAGAAATGTAGTGCAAGTAGAGTAAAAATATCTGTTGTAAATATTAAATATGAGTAAAAAGTAGTCCTTTTAAATGTCCTCAAGAGTAGTGAGTATTACGCTGTTAAAAGCTGATGTATTTACCGGTACATGTAATTTGTAAATGTGTGTGTGTGTGTGTAAGAAAACATAACATTCTGTAGTGCATTTAATGACAGTTTAACCAGTTAAATTCCATGGAAAGTGGTTTTGTTTGAAAGTGTAGAAGCTATATTTTATGCACATATGCATCACTTTGGTTTTTATTCTACTGTAAAAAAGTTATTTACACTTAATATCATCTCAAAAACATAGCAAGAATCAGATGCTTTGTTTCTAGTGAAGACTTAGAGAAACTTGTTCATGCTTTTATCAGCAGCAGGGTGGATTACTGTAATGGACTCCTCACTGGTCTTCCTAAAAAGACAGTCAGACAGTTGCAGCTCATCCAGAACGCTGCAGCCAGAATTCTAACCAGAACCAGGAAATCAGAGCACATCACACCTGTCCTCAGGTCTCTACACTGGCTGCCAGTTACATTCAGAATAGAGTTTAAAGTATTATTACTGGTCTATAAATCACTAAATGGCCTAGGACCTAAATACATCACAGATATGCTCACTGAATACAAACCTAACAGATCACTCAGATCATTAGGATCATATAAACTAGAAGTTCCAAGAGTTCAGTCAAAGCAGGGTGAATCGGCTTTTAGCCACTATGCCCCTCGCTGCTGGAATCAGCTTCCAGAAATGATCAGATGTGCTCCAACATTAGGCACATTCAAATCAAGACTGAAAACACATCTGTTTAGCTGTGCCTTTACTGAATGAGCACTGTGCTGCGTCCGACAGATTGCACTGTCGGACACAGATCATGTTTTTCTCTTCTTCTTCATTCTTTTATATCACATTTTACCTGTTTTTATGTTTTTTAATCAGTTTTATTATTTGTTTTTATTTTTATTTTTATTTTACTTGTTTCTTTTATTCTTGTTTATGTAAAGCACTTTGAATTGCCATTGTGTATGAAATGTGCTATATAAATAAACTTGCCTTGCCTTAAACATTGGTTCAATTTCATATTTTTCACAAGATTCATATATGACACAGGTACAAGTTATAGCTCAAATTAAATCTCTTGTCCGTGCTCATGAGGTTATAGCGTTCTTTTTAGTGAATTATATTCACATCAAACAGTTTTCGAATAAATCGCGGTATTTCCATGGCCCAGAAGTGAAAACAATACATTCATGATCAATAAGCAGCTCCAGATAGCACAGACAGCGGTCATCTCTTACCTTATGCTTTTTAGGGCCTTTCTCCTCTGTTTTTGAGGTGATGTGCATAAGTAATCCTTTTATATGTCCGACGTGGTCCAAACACAGTGAATTATGTTTGATCAAACAGAAGAATAGAGAAATATGAATACAATGATCGATCCCTGTGGCTTGTATAGCACCTCTCATCAGTTGGAATACAATAACTTTTTCATAGATTATGGTAAAGAGAGACATTTTTCTTTTTTTCCATGATTACAGACATGTGCAGGAACCACCAAAATTAATTTACTGCAACCTAGACCACACAGAACCTAAAAGGTACACTTTCAAATTTGAGTTTATAAAAAAAATACAAAAAGCAAATTTTTTTTTTTTTTTAGGTGTTTATTATAACACAGAAAACATTTATTACAGTTATTTTAAACACTTTTAAAGTGTTTCCTTTAAAATGACACCAAATTTTTGCATTTACACCTCTGCATGTGGATTTGGGTAGCTTTTAAATTTGGGTAGGCAAAATCCAGGCAGAAATCCCAAAATAGCACTGGAGTTTAAGTGGTTAAGGCCATTTCAGTCATCATGCATTCGGCATCTGTCATCATCTCATCAGTGACATGCAGTCTAAATATGCAGTCTCTGGGTCATTGCATGCAGAGTATATTCTTGGACACTTTTAATGCTTCTAAACAGTTTGCTTCATGTCTTGAGGTAGTTCAGTATGCATTAGACATTAATCACACTGCTAATTTTTCTAATCTCCATAGACAGGAAATAATAAAGTAGTTATTGCAGCTTGAAGAAAAGTAGTGGAGTTAAAATACCAATACAGCGCTAAAAATGTACTCAAGGAAAAGTAAAAGTTCACATTTTTAAAACTAATAAGTTAATTACAATTTCTTAAAAAAACTACTCAATTGCAGTAATTTGAGTATTGGTAATTTGTCACTATAAACCACTGGGTTTCAATAGTTCATGAATTTATCCTTTTGGTTTTCATCATGCTAGACAAACAAGCTAAGCCTGTCATAAGATATATGTGGTATAGCAGATCCTTGATTGTTTTTAATACATTGTCAGCATCATTTATGAGCAATTTCAGCGTTTTGGATCTGACATTTGCAGTAAAACACTCAAAACATACATTCACGTGGAAGGTATATGTTACCATTATATCGAAACATCCGTTTATATTTTCCAGAACAACTGACCACAGAGTTATGAAAGCAGAAAAATATCAATCTGTAAACACGTTTTGTACTTTAAATGAAGAAAATAAACGGGTTATGGATGTGACCAAAAAAGTCTGTACAGTATACAACATACTTTAGAAATTCTGTGAATTAAACTGCACAACCCAAAACAAATAATGATAATCAAAAGAATAAGAGTTGGCTCTCTGTAGAATAAAAATGAGAGATTTTAGTTTATTTAATATTTTCACATTTATGAGGAAAAAGTGTCGATATGGATGTGACATTTCTCCGTTTTAGATGAGACAGATTTGAAATTGCCACTTGTGTGACTTTGATAAATCAAATAAAATAGTTTGTAAACATTGACAGATACATTTTTGAGTTTTTCTAAAGTACTGTAAAATACTTGCTGGCACAAAAAGCTTAGAAATGTTTTCAGTATTTTGGTGAAAACTTAATTTAATTCAGGGTTGACAGTTGCATGGAATTGCTAGCATGGACTAAAATAGATATCAATTTGTATAGAGTAGTCAACATTTGAATTGTATCAAGAATGTTTTTCACAGACAAGAAAGGTCTAATTCAGTAGTTTTAGGACAATTTGTATGAAAGGTTTGGATTCGCTTCACTTGGATTTGTACTGTTGACTACGTTTAACAGTCAGACTATGTGTTTATGATTTTAACTATGTGTTATGATGTGTGCAGGATGGATCCAGCTCTGCTGAGAGAGCGAGAGCTCTTTAAAAAGAGAGCTTTGTCAACTCCTGCAGTAGAGAAAAGACCAGCAGCCTCTGAGGCCTCTGGATCCTCCAAGAAGAAAAAGAGCAAACCAGACAAAGAGTCGTCATCTTCCTCCAAAAACAACAGTGGTAAGTGAATATGTGGGTGTTTATTAAATCTTTAGAATCAACTCACTTCTCACAAAGTGCTTGGGCATAACTTTTTCTGTTTCATTAAAAAGTGCACTACTTTGTAATACTAATGTGCAAAAAAATCTGTTGTTTTATTTAACAGAATTATTATTGAGGTAATGTTGGTTTTATAATCGAACATTTCTTCAGTGACCACTTTGAATATTTGGTCTGAAATCGCATTTACGTATGATTTCAAAACAACATTAGCAGTATTTAAATGACTCTGAACAATTTTGTACTGTAATAGCCATTGTATGCTAATAAGATTTCCCTATTTAGAATTTGCAAAGAATACTTGTCTGAAACTATATTAAGGAGAAAGTCAGAATTTGCGAATTTAAAATCTTTACCCAAACAGAATTATTGCTTTTATTCAAATGCAGTCAGATATTGGATGTGTTTTTACTGTAATGATTTGTAATCACAAAACAACCACAAAACATTTCTATTTCAAATAAATGCAAACTTTCTGTTAAAAAAAATCTCTGGACAAGAAAATACGCATATGATAACGATTTACAATTTTTTAACATTATAAATTTATGATGAAAAAAGGCTATTCATTTGAACTTTTTTTGATTAAAGAATCCTAAAAGTGAGTTGTATCACAGTCAAATCTTGTCAGCACTGATAATTATAAGAATCATTATAATTGACTATAGTAGGACAACAAATCATTATATTATAATGATTTCTGAAAATGATAGCTCAAGTAATGATGATGAAAATTCAGTTTTTAATCACAAGAATAAATAAAATTTGAACCTACATTCAATAAGGAAATTATTGTTTACATTTAAAAATATTTGTTTACAGAAGACACAGGAAATGCTTAAATATTATTTACAGGATATACAAGAGTTACTTTATTTAGAAGAGATACTGCTTATTTTCTACTTTCAATATGAAAAACACTAAAAAACGTTTATTTTGTTTTCAAAAGTGAAAGTTATTTATTCGTGACTGTTGGTTTCAGGCATGTGTGTCTTAATTTAAGTTGTTCAATGTTGATGTTCAATTAGTAGTCATAGATAGTTTGTGTTTCCTTCAATTATTTTTAAATCATCAAGTGATGCACCCTTCATTCACAAATCTCTCACTTGTAATATGTGAGCATATTTACTGTACAAAACTTATCAGTGAACTATGAGGGCAAAAAAAATAAAAATAAATAAATAAAATAATCATTCATTAATCCAAATAGAGTTCAAATGTTCAATTTATCAAGATTTAAATTTTAGGCCAAATCACCCAGCCCTAATATTATGCAGGCGTATATCAGATAGATTATTGATTATTGGATTATTGATCACTCTGGCTCTCAAGATGAGTTGTCCAGAAATAATGTCATGCTTCATTTTCTTGAGTGAGGTTCAGCAGCTGCACTGCTTAATAGAGTTCAGTCTAGTTACTGTATATAATAGGAAGAACAGTGTTCAAGGACAGACCTTTATAATTTTATTGAACATTAAAACTTTTTTTAAATGTAATTTCATCAGCTTGTAATATCTTCTGTAACCTTATTGGGAACCACACATTTCTTGTGCTTGCATGATTTTTTATTATGTAATTTTAAATACACAATTTTAAGGCATTCACAAAGATGCAATAATAGGCCTTTAGTGTGCTTCTTTATATAGAACTATTTTAATACATAAGTATTCACCTATAATAAATCTGAACATAAACAAATAGAAACATTCTTTTCAATCCAGCTGTATATTTGCATCAGGTAGTCAAACCATACTGTATTTAGCTTAGGAATTCCACAATACTGATATGTAAACTGTTTTGTCATCCCACTCAATGGGATAAATTCATGTAAACACGTCTAAAAAGAAACAAAAATCAACCGTTTTATAGAGTCATCACACAGTAGCATTGGAATACTCAGACTCTATGCGGTGAAAACATTGATGTACACTCACAAGCAGATTTTTAGCCTCCATTTCTAATGCAAATCTCATCTAATATTTGAAGCCGTCGAGACACCTGTGTCGTGTATTGCCATTGGATCTAGTGGGAGTAGAATGCTTCTGTCTCTGTACATAACTGGCGTGTTTTAAGGGGCTCCGATCTGACGAAGTGCCTTTTCCACCAGTCTACTGTTTTGGTTCCTATGGAGACCTTGTCACCATGGCTACAACTAAACCACCTCGTCGTGCTGTCGGCGCAGGTCACGAACGGTTTTGGTTTTGTTGAAGCATCCACAGTCCAGCAGCTCATAGAGGAACGCCAGTGTGGCGAGGGAGAGGATGGTGAGGATGAAGAGCAGGATGATGATGAAGCAGGCCACGTTCCAGCCATCATGGAAGGGATAGATCTGCTGCATCAGAGCCGAACTGCTGGACATGTTCATACTGTGGAGAGAAAGATAAAAGCAGTCAGATATTAGAGAGGAAGGATGGAAAAATAAAGTGTGGGTACAAATAGAAAGGAAGAGAAAGAGTGATTGACAGATTGAATGGCAATTTCTACATGCTAATTTGTGTGTGTTTTTTCAGTTTTGATGGAAAAGAGGATACATTAGAGCACACTGAAAGCCACGGCTTGTATTTTTGTACTGTGTTTTAGCTGTCAGTGAGACATTTTTGGCTTTTACATTGCAAATAACTGTTTTTGAGCATCTCACAGCTTAAGTGTAGGGTTTGCAATGCACCAAATTAAATTAAACCTCGTTCAACTGTAATTTGATGCATTTCTGTCCTCCTTCTGTTACACTGCATCTTCCAATTTTTAAACATAGTCTTGCAATAATTAGAAAACACACAATTAAGATCAAGTTTAACCAAAACCAGAATAATTGTAAAGCATTTTTATAATATTGATTATTTTACTTGTTTTTAGGTCTTTTGTTTTAGCTTATTAGTCTCTTTTAAAAACATGTACATTTGATAGTAGAAAGTAATTGGTGCATATTGCTGTTGCATTAGATTCTTGTAAACAGGCTAAAATAACAATTCTTTTTTTATTTATCAGTTTTAGTTACTTTTAGGTTCCTTATATATTAGTCAGAATTATTAGATATCCTCTTATTTCTTTTATTTTGGCAAGAATAAAAGCAGATAAAATAAAAATAAATTTTTAAGGTTGGAATTATTAACCCCCTCAAGCTATATTTATTTTACAGAACAAACCATTGTTATACAATAACTTGCCTAATTATCCTAACCTACCTAATTAACCTAGTTAAGCCTTTAAATTTCACTTTAAGCTGTATAGAAGTGTCTTGAAAAATATCTAGTCAAATATTATTTACTGTCATCATGGCAAATAAATTAAGTTATTATAAATGAGTTATTAAAACTATTAAATTAGAAATAAGTTAATTTAATTATTCATTCATTCATTTATTCATTCATTCATTCATTTTCATTCAGCTTAGTCCCTTTTTTCATCAGTGACCGCCACAGCAGAATGAACCTCCAACTTGTCCAGCATATGTTTTACTCAGCGGATGCCCTTCCAGTACTGGGAAACACCAATACACTCGCATACACACACATACACTATGGTCAATTTAGTTTATTCAGCTCACCTATAGTGCATGCAGGGAAACCGGAGCACCCAGAGGAAACCCACGTCAACACGGGGAGAACATATGAACTCCACACAGAAATGGCAACTGGCCAAGCTTGGACTCGAACCAGCAACCTTATTGCTGTAAGGCGCCAGTGCTAACCATTGAGCCACTATGTCGCCCAGCATTTCAGACACCAAAATTGTAATTTCTTCTGGTCAGCTTGCTACAACAACACATGGTGGAATATTTAGTTGTAGCTGCTCAAATACTCTGGACCAGAAATGTGAATCAAATAATCTGATCAAATGCATATTTAAATACCTCTGGAAGTGGTCAAATAGGAACAAGCTTAATACATTTTAGACACGGATTATGACTTAATTTAACATCACTACTTGCTATTAGATCAACAGAAGCACACATCAATGTCAGATGTAAACAAGACCTTTTCCATGTGCTTGGGACAGACTAATCCTAATCTAGCAGGACAAATAGTATGCACACAAGAGAATTCAACTGAGATGAATCAGCTGACCTAGTTAGGTTGAGTGGAGATTCTGTGTGTTATGTAGGTTTAGAACAGACTGGAAGCTGAAGCATGACACATTGTGTTACATAGCTTCAGGCGTTCATTTCCAACATCTCTCTGATAATTTCATTATGTATATTTAATGCTTAACGTTCACTTCAATGATCTTTCAAAGGTTTACACATGTCAGCAAAGCAGGGTCTGTACACATCAGGAATGCATTTGTAGATGCAGCAATTAGGTTAACTGTAACGTGAGCCTAGTGAAAGCATTTCTCACGCGTGTCTGATTGTGCACAAACGCTTATGCAGGAATACACTTTCACTTTCAATCCAGCCATGACTCCCAGAAGGTAGCCCAAATGAGATTTAGGCTTATTTTGTAATTCACTTGATGCTGCTGCTTCATGTTTATTTTTATTCACATGTAGACCTGGTCTAGTGACCTTAGTTTAACTCTTGTAGACAACGGACTGAATCTCATCTGAAATGGACAGATGGACTCTGCCTGTCCTGGTCTCCAGAGACCCCTCCCCAAACATCTTGTAGCTAATTTTCCTTTCAAGCCTTTTTCTAATATTGGTCCTCTTCTTAAAACAGTAGCTACTAATAGACTAAATTTTCTCATTCCATTTAGTAATCTATCTGTCTATCGGTATGATGGTCTAATGATCTAGAATTGCACAGTCAGCTTCAAACTGTCTGGATCTGCCATATGTGCTTGTCTAAGTATCTGAGCAGGTATGCTTGTGACCAAGAGCTTTTATTTGAGTTAGCTTTTATATTTATGACACATTTTGTGCATTTATTATTTATCAACATTTCTATAGTGTCGCTGAATGCTTTGGTTAGGTATACTATCAGTATGAAGAGTGAATTACTAAGGAATTCTTTGAAATATATAGGAAAGTGAGGTGGTTATATGTTAGTTTGTGAGTATTTTAGTATAAGTTGCATTGCGTTGTGTGATATAAAAGCAGGACGTACCTGGGTTTAAGTGTCTGGGATGCAGGGTGATGGAGCAGCCTCTTGTTTCTCTCTGTGTTGTCTTTCTCAATGCTCACGCACTCCCTCCCTCTCTCTCTCTCTCTCTCTCTCTCACTGCCCCACCTTAATCTATAACTGTGTATTACACCGGTCGTGCTGAGTCTCTGCTTTGACGCCACTGGGTGACTGGTCTGTCTTTCAAAGCATCAGCCATCCAACCAACTGCAATGCGCCTGCTGTAAGCATTAGTACCTGCCCACTCTATGAATCATTCATGAGTCAGTGCCAAGATGCGGCTGAGACTGGCTGTGCTCCAGTTGCCAAGGGTTGAGAGCAGGCTGTGGAAGAGGAAGAGCATGAAATGCTAAAGCTATATGCGATGTAGAAAAATAAATCTTTACTGTTATAAGGAGCTTGAGATTGAGTAAACTGGTTAATAAGAGGATGAGTACTGAAAATGACATCAAATGATGACATCATTGTAATGTCTAGTTACGCCATGGATTCAATGCTCAGACTTCCTCATTTCAGAGCTTAAAAATGAAGGATTGCAAAGCATGAATAATTTGTGCATAGCAGTATATGTGCACTTAATTTTTATGTAATTTTTTTGTTTTAATTGATTTAACCTTTTTTCAATCTAAGTAAATATTATAAGGCTGGAATGGACTTCACTGCCTGTGACTTAAGACAATAGTCTTTTTAGATATGTTATGTTCATGAAATTGAGTTAAAAAAAAATAATTAATCTCCCCAAACAACAAATTGGAGAAAGGTTATACAAGGTAGGGTGTTGTTATAATGGCATTGACAAACTTGGTTGGTAAAAAAGGTGCACAACCAATAGCAACCAACAAACAGTATCTGAAATTTTCACAAGCGTAAAAGTGAAAGATTTAAGCAGTGTACTGATGCTGTGACATGTTACTTGATAGATTCACAAGACAGAAGAGTCATTATATAGAGACACGATTAATTAAAATTGGACTTTTGTGCTCAAAGCACCCGCAACTGCCTGGAGCTCATACGTGAGCATATGCTGCAGCACATGACAGCATGTGTGTGTTTTTTTGTGTGTGTGTGGTAATGTGATGTGTGCTTTCAGTGGTATAGTGTTTTTAGGAAATGCTAGATGAAACTTCAGTGTGGATGTGGATCGTTTTTGTTAAAAAATATAATTTTGAAACTAAGACGTATTAGTGTAAAAAGGGCCGTGTGTATTTTTTGCAAGGTGGTTGCTGCTGCGATGGGGGCAGGGCCGAGGATCGCGATGCTGGCTAAGCATCGTGATGTCTATCGGCCATCAGCGATAAAGGATGGCATCGTCTATTGACCCAACCCTAATTCGAGGTCTGCACTCTACTGTTCTGTAAAATTGTGAAAGTATTAAAAATAAATAAATTAATAACCTCACAAATACAACCTAAGTTTAGAATATGGAACTTAAATTGAACTTTGTTAGAATTGTACACTCTGCATCATCCACAACAACCAAAAAGTGCTCTTTTTTTAATAATATACGAAAACTAATAGTATTTAGTCACTTTACAGTTAGTTAATGATATGTAATGCATCTATCTACTATCATATTTAAAGAATAAACAGTGCTTGTACAGCATTTATAAAGTTAAGTTGTGCTTGTTAATTAACATTAGTTATTGCACTAGACTAGTTAACAAGAACTAACAATGAACAACTGTAATTTCGTTAATGCTTACAAAGATGAATAAATACTGTAATTTTGTTCATGTTTGTAAAAATAACATTAACAAATGGAGCTTTGTTGTAAAATTTAGCCATAACACATAATGATAATACATGACGATAATAATACATAATCATTCATGAATAATACATGACTTTTATATGTGTCTGAAATTGCCTGCAACTGCTGCTTTGTTGTTGCATCGTGACAAGGCATGCATGCAGATGATGTGGTGTATAAACGAGCACACCAGAATGTACGCTTTAGAGGAAATGTGTAGAAGGCTAGAAGATTTGGAGAGTCGAAATATAAATGAGCCTTAAAACCTATCAATATTTTAAGCAAATTATGAATTTAGCATATTCTTTTTGATCGATTTCTTGATTAATTTACATGCATTGTTACATCATTCATTCATTCATTTTCTTATCTGCTTAGTCCCTTTATTAATCTGGGGTTGCTACAGCGGAATTAATCGTCAACTTATCCAGAACATGTTTTACGGAGCGGATGCCCTTCCAGCTGCAATCAATCACTATGAAACACATACACACTTATTCGCACACATACATACACTTTGGACAATTTAGCTTACCCAATTCACCGGTACCGCATATCTTTGTACTGTGGGGGAAACCAGAGCACCTGGAGGAAACCACACAAAAACAAGGAGAACATGCAAACTCCACACAGAATTGCCAACTGACCCAGCCAAGGCTCGAACCAGCGACCTTCTTGCTGTGAGGCGACAGCACTACCTACTGTGCCACTGCGTCGCCTTGTATTGTTACATCCATAATAGATTTATATTAACCTAGAAAAATGGTAATTAATTAATAATAAATTATAAAAGCACAGCCATGTTATTGTCAAATATATTTTATCATTTTTATTTAACAAAATAACAATAATATTGTGATGGAGTTCAAGAGGACTGGTTAAAGTAATTCCATGTTAACTGCCTTTTAGATTCAGCACTTAGTCTTTATGGTCTCTTATCTCTTCTTGTCTTTTTACCTTTAATCTTTCAGATCCCAGCAATGGCTCATTCAATCTCAAAGCACTTTCTGGAAGTTCAGGATACAAATTTGGTGTTTTGGCTCGAATTGTCAACTACATGAAGGTAATACAAACAATGTACATATTTTCTGGCATTTCAGCAAGCAAAGATTTGCTGTGGTGTTTGTCATTTATGTTGTTTTTTTGCTAGGTTTTGATTGTTTTCCTTCGCTCATAAATGCAGATTTGTATTTGAGTAGACAATGTTTTATTTTACTTAAAAAAAAATAAAATGAAAAAATGTTTCTGCAACACAGAATACAATTTCCAGAGAAAGACCCAAGGGAATGAAATTATCATGAGCTGAGCAATCCTCACTGTCAATAAAACATATGCTCCTTCCTTAAAATATCATGGGAAATATTATATAATATCTCTGAGCACATCTATTGGCAGTCACAGCAATCCTGTGATCTGTCATGAGTTTTTTTTTTAATTTCTAAAGGTTTACATGTTGTGTGCTTGGAAAAACAGTACCTCTCCTTGCTCTCTGAACTTGCTCTCTGTTTTTTTCCTAACTATATAAATATTCTGTGAAAATTCACACTACTAAAACACATCGTCATTTTACACTTGTTTAATATTATCGTAAGCAGGGTGTCTGTCTTTTTTTGTGTGTGTCAGGCTTGGCAGTTCCTCAGTATAATGAAGTACTCTTTCTAACATGACAGTAATTAAAGGCTGTCAAGCTGTAATCCACAGTTGTAGATCTAGATGTGACACATCTTTGTCTTTCTCTCTCAGACGAGGCACCAGCGAGGTGATACTCATCCTCTGACTTTAGAGGAAATTCTGGATGAGACCAAGCTACTGGACATTGGCATGAAGCAGAAACAATGGCTGATGAGTGAGGTGTGTGCGTGCGCAGAAACATAGCATTCAATTTAATAGTAACTTTGTTTAGGTTAGTCATGTGCATAAAACCTACCCAAACCATCTTCATTTGAAGTTTCCGCACGGCTTTTCATCACTCTCAGCAAGTGTTAGTGGTGTGCTTTGATTATCCTCTTTGATAATGTCATAATTGTTGCTTTAGTGCTGTATGAGCCTATATTTAGCAATGCAAATTCAAACAAACATGATTATTGAGTTGAAAAGCTATTAGAATGCTTATATTAATTGTCTGTATTACATTTATGAAACAAAAAAAACTTATGATTTTTAGAAGAAATGATGGAGGTAAGTAATATCACGCTTTTTATTTGCAAACTATCAGCATGTGAGTTAGATAACTGGTGTATTTATTTTATGAAGTTCAACAAAATAATCATTAATAATATAATTATTATCAAAGTCAGGGGTGCCTCATCTCGCAGACAAAAGAGAGAAGTGGGGGTAATACATTTTTAGATGCAATGTTGTATTTTTTCTTGTCTCCAACAAAAATAGTTCCAAATAAAGCTGCGTCTGCTACATTTTTTGCATCCCAGAGCTACGCTGAAGTGATTTTCTGAATAAATGAGCTTTTAAATAAATCGATTGAGCCAGTGATTCAAATGTCTTTAAGACGGTCACTCTTTCGTTTTTAAATAGATCAGGTGCATTTAATAGGATAGTTCACACTACTTAAAATTGTTATTATTTACTTGCGTTTCTGCAGTAAACACATAAGAAGATATTCTGAAGAAAGCTGGATACCGGGAACCATTGACCTCCATACTATTTGTTTAACCTAATATGAAAGTCGGTGGTTACAGCTTTTCAGCTTTCTTCAAATGACCTTTTTTTGTGTTGAAAAGAATAAAGGAAATCATAAAGGGTTAGAACCACTTGAGGGTTACAGTGAGTATGTTTTCATTTTTAGTCAACTGTTCCTTTAAATAAATTGTTTGAATTGATAATTTTGCATATAGCCTATTAAGATAGTGTCGCGGCAAAATCCCCTCCATAGTTACAATTACATTACATTACAGGGACTTGCCACCTTGGTGGCTTTACTGTCATATTGATTTATCCAGGGTTCCGATCCTTCTTGAAAATACTTGAACTTACTTGAATTTCATACATATGGATTCAAGTTCTGGTAAGTGCTTAAAAGCAAACATATGTTCTTGAAGGTACTTTAATTTAATTTGAAATATAGTTTGATTATGGTTTTTATTTCAACAAATGTACTTAATTGTCAAAGATAGAACTAAAAAACTTAAAATAGAACTTAAAAACCTTAATTTAAAATTTTGTAAAATAAGATTTGACAAATAAATCGTTTTTTCATCAATATTTCAGAAACCACATTGGAATATTACCAGTGTTGAATTGAACAAATGTTATTAAAGTATTTTGAACATTACTTTTTTTTTTCTTTGACATTTATAACGTAAATATAAAGTGTAAGTGAAATGTTAAGTACAGGGGTCTGTTCTTCCTAGGTGGATTACTCAGTTAGCTGGATTTGGACATTGATGATTTGACATGATCCAGGATCGTTTAGTTCTTTAAAACTTATCTAAGAGTTGTTGTCATAGCAACAGTTGTGGTAGCTCAAACCTGGTCGGGAGCAGGCTCATTCATGTAAACAGGATTACATCGGGTCATTTCAAGATAATACTTACTGAAAGTATGGACCAAATGCTGATGTTTTCTTACAGTAGTTATATACACTTGGCAAAATAGTAAATATAATTTATATATATATATATATATATATATATATATATATATATATATATATATATATATATATATATATATATATATATATATATATATAAAGCAAAAAAATATATATTAACAAAACTTATGCAATCTGCACTCCGAAATAAAGTACAAAGCCTGCCAGGTTCAAAGAGAAAATGTATTGATTTGGACTTTTTAGTTACAAACGCATACATGCACAATATTCAACTTTTTAAAAAACGGATAATAATTTATGCAGTCATGCATGTGTTTTGGCCGCTAATAAACCAGTGATTTGATGCTTCGCAAAAGTTGCAGACACCTTTACCGATACAAAAATGCTTTTTTGATGCAAATTTAATTTATACAGTTATTCCTTATGCCGATTAAAAAAAAACTTGAGTAGGCCTAGGCTACTATAAAAAATAAAATCTTCTCTAAATGTAGAACTAAATACATTGATACCCATTGAAATACATAATGAATACTCCTGACTAGGGATGGGAAGATTAACCGATATGTATCAATACGCGGTCATGCGCGTGCACAATGCGAGTGCATCGGTAGAGCAGCAGAGGATGTATGAAATTTGGAAGCAAATCGAGATGCATCGGTTTTTGCGAGATGCATCGGTTTTTCCAAGATACAACTTGTCTTTTTAATGTAGAATGTGTTTTTTGTTTATTAACAAGTGTTGTCAACCTGTTTTGGCACATAATTTAATCGACCTACATAAAGTATGCCTTAGCAACGGACTTGCAGATGTGTACACTTACACTACAGCTCTAAGCTAAACAAACATGTTGGACGCCGAGACAATTTATTCTCCCCACTGAGTTTTAAATCTAAAGTATGGCAACATTATGGATCTTACAAAAAAGATGGATGACTTGACAAGACAGATGCAATTTGCAAAATGTGCTGCTCATCTGTAAAATACACGGGCAGTACGACTAATCTGATATCTCACTTGAAGCAGTGCCACGGTGTTGTTGTGGAAGTATCTTCTAGTGTTCCTGCATCCCCTGCTTCCTGCTGTGATTCACCTGTAGCTACCAGCTCCAAAAGTGGTGAGAAAAACATTGAAAGTTTTTTTCTATGCCCCGGTTGCTAACAGTTCCGCGTGCTCTATGGCAATAACGGATGCTATTGCATTGTTCATCTGCAAAGACATTCAGCCTTACAGTGTCACGGAGAACGAAAGTTTTAAACACCTCCTCCTTTTAATTTTTATTTAATTTTATTTTTATTACCCTGTTGTTTACATTGACATTCATGTTTCAAAGCAGCATAACACTGCTAGTTCACGACCTTAAGTTTTGAATATTAAGTGGAAAAAATTGTCTTTGTTAAACTTGTTTTCATAGTTGAAAAGTTAAATCACAATTCGTGTTGTGCAATGGTAAACCTTTATGTTGAAAGAGTGCAAATATATATATATATATATATATATATATATATATATATATATATATATATATATATATATATATATGTGTATATGTATATATATATATATGTGTATATGTATTGCACTTATACATTCTGTTTATCTTGGAAATACTTAAATAATATGTTCCATATGTTCTAAAATGGCCCTCTACTGTAAACCGACACTCGGGCTCTGAGAGAAAAGCCAGTTTGTAAAAAAAGTCTTGGTTTTATTGGTTAATAAATAATTAAAGTCATTCAATGGCACAGCATCCTCTTTCACATCATCACATAAACTTGATCTAATTAATTACTGCTGAATTATCACATTGTATTGTGATATGGGTGTGAATCGTATCGTATTGCATCACAATATGTCACAAATTTATCGTTAATGTATCGGATCGTATTCTTTGTATCGAGATGCGTATCGGATCGGCATTATAGCTTAGATGCCCAACCCTACTCCTGATACATGAAAGTGTAAAGCCTGCAGCTTATAACAAATGTGGAAAGTAATTTGCGCATCATATTTAACAAACCGTTTACTGCTAATTTGATGTCATTTTACTCAAATGGATAATTAGATGATTTCATTACGCTGCTGTGCTGTCAGCCAATTGTTGCATTGCTGATCATGATTTCAGGAATCGATAGATCTGTCCTTAACAACACACGCAGCGATCTCAGATCAGTTCATCCAGACATTTTAATCTGATTTGCGAACTTGTTTGAAGAACCAAATTAGCCAGAGATCAGTTATCAAGATTAAAAGATCCAGGATCTGCCAAATCATCTTAGATCATTTAAGCGAGGTACAAAGAACAGACCCTAGGACTTTCATGGCACTACAAATACTGGGGTATGAATTACAAGTGTTCTTTATCAAAATAAGGGTGCTTTAAAAAGTCATTGAAAGTCTTTGAATCTGCAGTTAATGAAAGTGTGGGAACCCTGTTTATTATTTTATCTATGATAGGCCTTAACAGCATAACAACAAACTCAACAAAATATTTTAAATTATTATTGTTCAAAATACAAAAAAATCCCTAAAAAATTAATATTTATATTTTTCTGTGTTCATAACGCACACCACTAGCAAACATACAGCTGTCTGTAAAAACATCTGACTTTACAGATATTGCTGTATGTAAAATTGAAAATGTATGTAAATTTTTTTTTCTTTTAAAATATATTTATAAGGCCACAAAGAGTATGGGATAGCTATGTTCCTGTGGTTTTAAATTATTATTTTTATGTTTATGTTTTTTTATTCCAGAATATTATTATAATTATATAATACTTGGATTTATATGCTGCAGAATACTTTTATTGACCAATGTTCCAACAAGCAATGTAATGACACGCAATATATGTTTTCAAGGGCAAGATCGACATTCGAACAAGAATTCAGCATGTAACCTTTCCCTCTCTCCTTCCCTCCAGGCATTAGCAAGTAATCCTAAGATTGATGTGCGGGAAGGGAAATATGCCTTTAAACCCAAGTATCATCTGAAGGATAAGAAAGCTCTGCTTAGACTTCTGGACAAACACGATCAGCTTGGTCTCGGAGGAGTGTTACTGGATGATGTTGAAGAGGGGCTACCCAATGCAGCCAAGGCTATTAAAGTAATACACCATCATGCTGTCACTCATTAGTAACAAAACAAAAAAAAACATTTACTAAACCGTACATTTAAAGGGGACCTGATATGCCCCTTTTTACAAGATATAAAAGAAGTCTCTGATGTCCCTAGAGTGTATATGCAAAGTTTTGGCATCTTATAACCCATGAATAATTTTTTTAGTTCTTTGAAACTGCTCCTTTTAGCCTTTGATCCAAACAGTGCTTTTATGGTGACTGTCTCTTTAAAATCAAATGAGTATGTACTCCCAGCCCTCCTTTCAAAAGAGTGCAGAGCTACAGACAACCATCACCATTCCATCATTAGTGACTGCATCTCACTTAAAACTGTTTATGCTAATAATGGAGAGATTGTCACTAATGGGCGGGGCTTTCCCCCTCTGATGTACAAAGGAAGAATGTCAGACAGTGTTTCTGCAGACTGCTTTTATGAAGTGTGATTAAAATGAAATTAATTAATGATTTTGTACAGTTGAAATCTGGCTATATTCCCACCTTGTTTCCACACAATTTTGTTTAACTCCTTATAAAAGTGATTTTTGCGCATTAGGTCCTCTTTAAAGAGCCCCTATTATGGGTTTTTGACAATGACCTTCCATGTAGTGTGTAACACAGCTCTAAGTGAAGTGAAATATCCAGTTATGGCTTAAATCTGAAAGTGCTCCGTGTTTAAAACAATTGATGCATTTATAAAAGAGTCGATACGAGACTTATGCCCCGCCCAATTATTGCATGCGCAAACCCAGGAACATTTAATGTAAATTTGACCCTTTTTAATGTGTAGTAGAGGCTCTTTAAATTACCAAGTACACAAAAAAGGGCTCTGAGCCCAGGAAAACTATAGATTTTTTTGATACCAAAAGTCTTTGAAATATTAAGATCATGTTTCATGAAGACATTTTGTCTACTGTAAATGTAAAAGTACCCTACTGTAAATGATTAGTAATTTGCAAAACTAAGACTTGAATTTGGATCATGTTAGAGTGGTTTTGTAGTCCAGGATCATGCATGTATTGTAGTATATATTTATTTATGTATATACACAAAAGTTGGTTCTGTCAACAAGAATGGTGTGAAGTAGCCTTTTTTTTGCTTTGGCTATAATTATTAGAAATATAAATAATACAGCTAAACTGTATTGTAATTATTGAAAAAATATTGCCATCTTAAGTGACCACTTGTAGTCACGGACCACTAAAAGACACAATAATACCATGTGGAAACCTGATCCATACCCTTTTATTTATTTGTTCAGGTAATTTTCTTTTTTTTTCAGCATTAGAAAACAACATAAATGTCATTCACTTTGACAGTAGTTTATATAATCATTTCAAAAAGAATGATTTCATGACATTAAATTAGGATCACATTGCAGCTCTAAAAAGCTTATTAATTGTGAATTTAATTAATTGTGATGTATATACACCTTGTTTAAAATGAAAATAACAAGGCTTTGATTGCAAAAAATACAGTTATTTATTTTAATTTGTTCATTTTTTTTAGAAACTCTCATAAATGTCATTCAGTGTAACATGTTTATATACTAAAAAAACCTTTTCATCAAGAATAATTCCTGCACATATTAAATTAGGATCTGATTGCAGCCACATTAGTAGAAATGCTAATCAATTGACATTTTAGATATTTTTATATATCATAAATGTTTGAGATGGAAACACAAGGCTTTAATAGCATGAAATACTCTAATTTGTTTTAATTGGTTTTGTTCAGGCGCTCGGGGATCAGATTATATTTGTGACT